TGTTGCTGTCGTTGACTTCGTCGTTGTCGCCCAATGTGATCGCAATGTGTTGGTCCGCATTTCGAGCGTGCGCGCCAGTGGGGCATCCTGAAGTGCAAGTCATGCACGTGAGCCCCTCTGAAGCGCTTGTGGCAGCGCGCGAATGCTTGGGGCCGCAAGGGGGAACAGGAGGAGGAGGAGGAGGAGGAGGAGGAGGAGGAGGAGGAGGAGGAGGAGGAGGAGGAGGAGGAGGAGGAGGAGGGAGGAGGAGGAGGAGGAGGAGGAGGAGGAGGAGGAGGAGCAGGAGGAGGAGGAGGAGGAGGAGGAGGAGGAGGAGGAGGAGGAAGAGGCGGAAGAAAAGTGAGGATCTGGTTGGCGGGCCTGAGCTGAGACCCAGCCCGCAAGATTTCACTTCGGATCTGGAGGCCGTTTGCGGGCTCACGGACCGCGAACTGGGTTGAGGATCTGAGGCCACTCGGATGGCTGACGCGGTGTCATGTGAGGTCTTTCGGGGGCGTCTTGTAGCCAGTTTTGGGGGCCTCGGGGGCCTCCTGGGGAGCTCTGCGGGGTTCTTTGGGGGCCCCTCGGGGCCTCTTGGGGGCTTCTTGGGGCGACCTGGGAGCGTTTTGGGGCCGACGGGTCGAAATTTCCGTTCGGGTTTCGCCTCTGGGCCCCCTCTGGGGGCCGTCCTGGGGCTCTCTTGGGCGTCTTGGGGGTTTCTTCGGCCGTCTTGGGGCTCTCTGGGGCTGTCTTGGAGCCCTCTTTGAGGCCTCTTGGGCCATCGTGCACGTAGTGAAAGTCCCAGAGGCGAATCTGCAAAAAAACCTTCGGCTTCCAAGGGGAATGGGACGATTTTCGGTTCTGGGGGGCCCTCTGGGTGAGGTTTTCAGAGGCCTCTTGGGGCTTTGTGGAGGCATCTTTGGCCGTTTGGACGCCATCTTGGGCGTCCTGCATCGATATGTCGGCGACTCGGGGCCCTCTTGGAGTGTCTTGAGGGTTTCTTGGCAGGCCTCAGAAGCAGTCTTGGCGCTCCAAAGGGAGCCCCGGGAGGACTGGACCCCCCCGGGGGGTCTCGGAGGTGGGTCGTGACGGGCCGGGTGGGTGGGTCAAATTCCCTGTTTGGGGCCCCTGGGGGGAGGATTATTTTTGGGGAAGAATTTCACACGTCTAGAGACCCACAAGGGGCTGGCGGACTTCAACGGGGAGGAAAAGGAGCTCCTGGAGGCAATCACGGCGCTCAAGTCTGCCGTCACCGTGCTGTCGAAGCACCACGGCGGGGCGTTTTTGCAGGCGGGCCACCCTGTCCGAAGGGGCCGACATTTCTCTCTCTCTCTCTCTATATATTTGTATGGGTATGCATCACTATACATTATGTACATGCGCATATATGTACGCAATATAAATATATATAAATATATATTTATATATTCATATATATATATATATATATATACATACATATATATGTATATATATATATGTATATATATATATATATACATTCACATACGTACATTTACATACATGATTACACAGACACTTGTAGAATCATGCATCATGCACAAACTGTTCGCGGCGAACTACAGTCGAGCATCTGATTCAGATACCTTCTCCTGAAAAGCTGGGCCAGCATTTCTTGACCAACTTGCCGGAAAGCTGGCCCAATTTCTTGAGCGCGTTCGCCCATCCAACGTTAGCAACAGAAATATGCCCAGGCTGTTTTAAGAACCGTCCGGAAATTTGAACCATATTTCTCAACTGATAATTTTCATGATTCTATTCTCGGCTGCTTGCACAGCGGACCAGTAGCTCACCTGTAGCTCACTCGTCGTCAGGAAGGGCTGGCTAAGGCATTGTATGGGTTTCTTGTTTCTAATCTTCGGGCGGATCTCGCGCTCATGCTCTATCCACGCATGGCTTTGTACTCGCTGATGCCAGGCGTGCGGTCAGAGAAAAAGCCAGATCTGCTACCAGCCCGTACGATGCTGTCCAATCGCAGTCTCATGGATCAACCGATCGGTGATAAGTCGTTTATTCTCTGCAAAGTTGAATCTTCCTTTACCCGGGCCGACCATGCCAAACATCCATCCACGCACTATCAAAGCTCAGCAGCGGCTTCGACACGGCAACTGCATTCTTTACTGCTGCCTTCTTGGGGCCTACTTGGAATTGGAGCGTCGTTACAATCGGCCGGCCACACGCTAGCTTCCTCAATACATTTTGGGCGAGCTCTTTCAGAGCCTGTTCTGTTACCGTCTCTTGCAACCAAATGTGGATCTAATCTTTCATATGTCATGGTGGCCAGTGGAGACGTGTTGGGACCATGAGCGAGTCACACATAACTGCCAGCGTTGGAGTGATAGGCTTGGGATGGCGATCGAGGAAGACGGTGGCGTTGGCGTGGTGGCGTTGGCGTAGCGACGGCGACTCCAATGCTGGTGCTACCGATGGTGGGTGGGGATGGGTTGAGGCGCGGTGCAACAGCCTGTCCGCACAGCAATTTACAATTTTGGGATCCTGC